GGAAGGAGAGCAAGTTTGGGGGTGGGCATTGGACATCCATGTGGAGATATGCCAGGGACAGGTGGATGTTGGTGTCTGCAGTTGGAGGAGAGGTTGGGAACAGAAATGTAAAGCGGAGAGTCTAGTGGCTGGAAGAGATTCTAAAGCCCCAGGGAATGAGTGTAGACACAGGAGAGAAGAGGTTAGTGCCCCTGAGCTACTGAGGTGGGTTTTCTCAAGAAGCTCCTGGGTGATATACAGCTCCCCAATGAGGGAGCAAACAAGAAAGAAGCCAATGTGGAAAAGCTCATCTGGAAAGAAAGGGAGGAGATCCCAGAGGGCAGCCAGGTGTGTGTGGGGGGCAGGCCTACCTACCATGTGACTAGGTCACACTGGATTAAGGGGAATGGACCTGGGTGGGTCCACCACCATGCAGATTAAGAAAAAGAAGCAAGTAAGCCCAGAAGAAAAACCTCACAGAAATAAAATCATTGTTGGGTTTAGTAGTGAACGACATTTCAAGTCATGGAGTCATGAAAAACATGCAGAATGAACTTTAAGAAATGAGCTGAAATAACACTGAGAAGATGGGAGCTGGTGGAGTGTGTGTGAGGGGTGAGGTGAGACCCTGGGATCTTCGCTTTCACCAGTAAGTGAACAACAGCAAAATGCAAGCATCATGCGTGGCAGGATAGCGTGCCCTTTAATCACAGGAGGTTTTCACAAGAGGTAACTAAAAGAAATGGTTGCCTTTTGGAAGTGAGAACCTGGGGTAGGGTAGGATGGGCTATGAATGATGTTTTTTTGTGATAAGCCTTGTGCTTTTATTTGAGTTCTTAAGCTGTAATATAGGTACTACTTGGGGAGAATCAAAATTAAACCGTAGTGCATCTTTCATTGTCCTTTATAATACTTTACCTAACATATTTAGTGCTACCTGTAGGTCACTATTATTAGTGACTTATGTGTATGAACCAGTGAAGTAATGTGTAGAGATTTCTGTTTAGATCTAAAGTCAAAAAGATTTGTTAGTAAAATAAAATTAATGAAAATCCCCTAATTCTCCCATAACTCTACAGGATGTCAGATGTGTAGTTTCGTGTGTGAGTGTGTGTATATATATATATATATATATATATATGTATATATATATACAGAGTATAAGAGTGTATATATACATACACTATATACACTATATGCTCTCTCTCTCTCTCTCTCTCTCTATATATATATATATATATATATATATATATATATACTCTTGAACCCGTTCCTACAACTTTTCCTTAGTGTCATAAGGGCTTTCAACTCCGTACTGTTGTGTCGTGGGATGTGAGCTGAGTCATCCTGGCTGCTAAGTGTGTAGATCACTTGTAGTTCGTCCCTCCACGCATTTCTGCCTTTTTGTCCCAGGTTCGCACTTCTACTCCCATCCCTAGTCCTTCTGGACACATGCTCCAGCGTCTTTGAGTACACCTGTAGCCTTGCAAAATTGATGTAGGGGCATTCTTCACTCACCTCACTTAAAAATGTAAAAAGCGAGGTTCAGGTTGTCCCTGGAGAGCTCCGCTTCTGTGAATCAACAAAGCCACTGGAGACTGGTTCTTGTGAGATCTCTGCTCCACTGCCTAGAGTATTAACTTCTTTTCAAGACCAACTGCAAAAGCATCTCAAGACTAGTACTCCTCATTGGCCGTAAGACCCCAGTCAACAGCAATCAGCTCTGATGGATCCCATTTTTGTGTCCAGGTGAAGAGAGAGATGGGTCTCCTGATGGTTTTTCTTAAGAGCAAGGAACCGACTTTCTCAGAGATCTGAGAGCTCTGCCCACGTCTCCCCAGCCTGCTGTGGTTCGGGTCTGCCCATTCCTGAGTCAGTCAGTGTAGAGAAGGGATGACTCATGGCTACATAAAGGAGGGACAGAACAGATATTGAGAGCTCATCACAATCCTCTAAAGCCAGCTCACTGGTCTCTCCATCTTAGCTTGATCTTGTTTCTCCTCCAGTCTGTCCAACACAGCAACTATCTATGCCACCCATCACTTAAAATACTTTGATGCTATGATAGCTAGTCCTCAAAGATGGCCATCGCATGGAATTACACCTCCTGGTAGTCTCACCTTGAATCTGGCTTTGCTCTGGGATTTTTGTTTTTGTTTTTGTTTTTTTTTCCCGATGCAAACACACGAGGGTTTATTTACAAGCTCGAGCTTGGGTCCAAGTATACCCGACACAGCGGAGCAGGGACTTGGACCTGGGATTTGTTTTTGACCGATGATTCTGTGTGGCTTCTGGAAGTGGCTCATAAAAGACTTTGCTGTTTTTGCCTGGGTCTCTAGGAATCCACCCCCTCCCCTTTTTTGAATGCTCACTCTAGGAAACCAGCCACCATACTTGGAGATACTGAAGCCACATAAGAGGCCATGCATGGGCACGACGGTTGACAGTCCCAGCTCAGGTCCCAGCCAGCAGCACCTTAGGCATCCAGCCCAGGTGAGCCCTCAGGTGAGTGCAGCCCCATCCTCCCCACGACTGCAACATCTGCAAAGACCTCAAGCCCTCAAACAAGAACTGCCCAGCTGGGCAGTCAATTTACAGAACCATGAGAGATAATAACACACGGGTCTTCATGCCATTAAGCTCTGGGGTGGGTTGTGACCTAATGGTGCATCACTGAGATGAATGCTTTCCCAAGTAAATCAGTTCAAACTGCAATAGTGAGCAAGAGGGTCCCCGGCCAGCAATGACTTGCCTGAAGGTGCTCAATGACCCCACATACCAGGATGCCTGGGAGAGGCAGTTCCAGGATTTGATCAGTGGCTCAGCATGGTCAAAGACCTAGACTTTTCTGGTTTCCATTGTGCCATCCTCGGCATGGTGGCTTTGGGGTGTTAGGACTGTCACCGATTCTGGATGACCACCGTGCCATGCAGTCACAGGCAAGTAGGATGACAGAGGCAGGGCAAAAGTCCTCTTCTCTTGAGCTCGGAGGTTTTATCTGAAGACCTGATTTTTCCCAGTAACTTTCCAGCCTTCTTCACTCTATACTTTACTGGTCAGCACTGGCCATGTGCCCACCCCCATGACCAGTTACTAGGAAAAAGGGTTAGACTTAGCCAATCAATTATGATTCATCCTCTGGGTCTGTGGTCTGTCCTCATGGTGATCAAGGGGTCTTTGCCCACTGCCTGGATTAACTGGGGTTCTGTTTTCAGGAAAGGGGTGTGTGGGACTGGATGTGCCATCATGTGTGCCACACCAACAGATCAAGCCCTGTTCTTAGCCAGGCCTGTGTTCTGAGCACCATCCCCACTGGCCTCTGAGTGTCTTGGCACGTGTACCTAGGAGGTATACTCTGTCCCTGGAATGCTCTCTTCTCCAGCCATGTGAGATACACATGCTTCAGATACCAGCTCAAACACCACCTCCTCGGGGAGCTGCCCACTGAGCGAGGTGCTGTATCAGAACCCTGGATTTCTCGGTTTCATGGAATAAAACTGAGGTCTGTAAGTGTGCATGAGTGGATTAAGGCCTGCCTTCTCCACCAAAGATGTGAACTGTGACAGTATCTTTGTCACTAAAGTCACAAGTACCTAATAGATACTCCATCAATAACTAGTAACTTTCTGGACGGTGCGGTTTGCTCCCTGAAATTCCCCCCACCTCTGTAGGCTGGTGCTGTGAAAACACTGAAGGCATTTAAAAAAAATTATTCAGGACCTTAAATCCTGAAAAACTTCAATGGGGTGACCTTAAACGACTCCTATGGTATGTTTCATTTTGCTTAAACCGGAGTTTATTTAATGCTTGGTGAACTTTTTAACTTTCAGTTTAGGATGCTACAAATAAGCAATTTATAAGGATATGGAAGCCTGCTCATCCTTCAAGTTTTGGATAACTATGTTACTCATTAAAAAAAAGAAAAAAAGTCCAAGGGCACCTGGGTGGCTTAGTGGTTGAGCATCAGCCTTTGGCTCAAGATGTGATCCTGGGGTCCTGGGATCGAGTCCCACATCGGGGTCTCCACAGGGGAACTGCTTCTCCCTCTGCCTATGTCTCTACCTCTCTGTGTGTCTCTCATGGATAAATACATAAAATCTTTAAAAAAAAAGTCCAGATTGACATGATTTAAGTGAATTCCCATAAAGAGGACAAACCTGAGCTCTAGAAACAAATGCATTTTATTAATAGCCCCACCCTGCAGTGCTCAGCGCTCAGAATTTATTACAAAGAAGGGGAGACATGGTTCTAAGTTACAGCTTGTGCTTATAGATGTCTCTCATGCATCTCCTGGCTGTGTGGCCTTGGGTGAGTTGCATAACATCTCTGTGACCCCCGTTTCCTCAGTTGTTAGAGAGGGATGTGCCGTTGTGAGAATTAGGCCAGCTGGCACACGCAGAGCGCTGACAGGAGTGGTCAGGCCCTGGCAGGTGCGGTCCCACCGTGGCTGGTACTCCACAATGCGGCTGGAAGCACTCAGCATACAGTACTGCTCTTGCCAGACACCTCGGCCACTTGCAGGCCAGAACCACATTTGAGGTTCAAGCTCAGTCATTTTCCAGAAGAAATGCCTGAGCGCCAGAAGGAGAGGGATAAGGTGACTGTGGAAAGCCTCCCAGCAGGGCCCCAGGACCCGGCTGTGAAAGAGGAGCCTCTCTGTGTTTGGTGATAGATATTTTGTTTCATCATGTTAATCTTGTGCTCTTGCCCAGTGGCCTCTCCTCCTAGGGACTGGCCAGTCCTCCCTGAAGTCCTGCTGTTTATCCAGTGAGGCACAGAGAAGCAGGCAGCTAGTCCCCCTAACGTGTCACTGTCCTTTGGGTGCCCTGTCACAGGTGGCGACTGTCCCCTGGTCCTCTGCGGGGGAGGAGCTGATGGCTGGGGCAGCTCTGGGGGACCCCGGGGCAGAGGCACCCCCAGGGCAGAAGTCCCAAATCCTTAGTAAATCTCTCTCTCTGTTCCTCATCCTGGGCGGAGTCGGAAGGTCCCTTCCAATGGCTGCATTGGTTTTCAGTGAGAATCTTCTTTCAATCGATGACCTGCAATATTGCTATCGTGGTGGACTCTCTGCAAAGGGCTCGAGGGCCCTATCAGGTCAGTACCTGGAATGTGGAGAAAACTCCTGGCGCCTGATGTCTCTTGGAGGTTCACTGAGGCATGTGGCATCCAAGTGACCCCTGTGTGGCCAGGGAGTGTGCAGGTGATGGCACTAGACAGTGGCAGGGCTGGAGGCCGATGGAGGGCTCACTGGGGTGAGAGGCCTGGGACTGCTCCTGCCTGTGACTGCGGCCCAGGGTGCTGCTCCTGCATCAGGCCGGACACGGGCCTGGCACCCGCTCCAGTCCCTCTGCCTGCCTTTCTGGGGTGGATGCTGCTCTGTTCTTCCAAAGGGAACAAAATGTAATCAAAGTAGACTTTCCACAACAAAACAATCCAAATCTGATTTCCTAAGAATGTTAAAGATGAGGAGATCCCCAGAGGTTGGAGGACTCAGAGGGAGAAATGAATCGGGACCCCCAGGAAGAGTCAGCGTAAGAGAAAGGCCTGTTGGCGACCTGGGTTGGCCCATCCCGGGGCTGCGTCCTGGCGCTGGGCTGGGCAGGGAGCTCCAAAACCAGGGGAGCCCCGGGGAGGCTTCAGCCACATGGCCATGCTGGACCTTGGACCTTGAGGAGGGGACCTCCCAACCCCCAAGTCTGTGCATAGTGTCAGGGAGCAGGGGGCACAGGGTGGCTACATGGTCGGGGCCAAGTCCCACATCTCCCTCTCTCACTGTGGGAACTAGGGTGACTTCCCAAACCCTGGTGCCTGGTTTCCTTGTCTGTCAGGGATGACACCACAGTCACCTCCTTGTGTGACTGTGGGGATAAAGGAGATGCACACACCAAGTGTTCAGGACTGTGCCGGGCACCACCCTGACACCTGCTAGATGCTTACTGTGGTTTATGTTCAGGAAAAACCCTGCTGTTTTAAAATGGAAGATTTCTTGAAAAAAAAAATCTTACATTTTTCCCTTTTATTTTGCTTCGTGTTCTGTGTTATTTTCAAACCAAGTCCCCCTGGTCGTCATTTCTGAGCAGCCAGCATGGTGCAGATTTGGTGCAGGTTTGGTGCAGGGAGCTTTCGGGTCACTGATTCATGCAGCAACTCACAACCACCCCAGCGGGCACGGCGGGGGTCAGTGCAGGGCCCAGCAGGGTTTCCCACTACAATGGAGAAGCAGAATTGTGAGCTTGCTCAGAGCAAACCTCCTGGAAGAGACGTGAGCTGGGCCACGTGAGGAGGCGGTGGACGAAGCGAGAGAGGCTCTCGGTAGAGGGGAGAGCGCGGGTGGACGCTGTCCTCTGGTCACACGCTGTCAGCGGAGAGGAGCAGTCAGGCTGCTCACATCCCGCCAGGCGATCACGGTCACGGGTGCCCGCTCCCCGGGGTGACGTGGGTCAGTGGCGTGTTTTCATTCAGGAAGCAGCATTTGAGACTGAGCATTTCCATCCGCTTCTGAATGACTCACGCACGATCAAGGAGTGAGTGCGCTGGTCTGAGGAGCACCGGGGTTGCACAAGGGCTGAATCACTGGCTCGCACACCTGAAACTAATATGATGCTGGGCGTTAACTAACCGAAATTAGAATAAAAACTCAAAAAAACCCCAACAAGCCCCATTAAGGGGCAACTGGAACCCCACCAGTTTGATACATTCGGGTGAAATGGGTACACACCCCTGCAGGTACACACATTCCTCTGTGCATGTGTGCGTGTGTACTGATGCGCTGCCACACACCACAACAAATACCTGATTTAAAGAGGTTCTGCTCCACTAAATCCCCCCCCCCACCATCCTGTCTTCTCCCTCTTTTTCTTGGATGACATTTCCTTGTTAGACAAAGATGCTGAAACAAAGTAACCTGATAGGAAAGGACACTGAGGCTGGGGTTCCAGCTGTGATAAGAGCATGGCATTTTAAAAAACAACTGAAGTGGGATTCTTGTAGGAGGTAGTAGGGCAGCAGCGGTCCCACATCTGGAGCTGGGATGGAGACAGGAGGCTGAAGCCCACCCCCCAGCAGTGAAGCCCACCTGGGGGGGGGTTCAACCTCCAGTCCTGGCTTTTAGGGTCTCGGCAGGTTTTTAAAAAAATCCCTCCGCTGCCTTCCTCTTCTTTTTTTTCTCCCTCCTTGTCTATGCCATGGGAATGGGAATGCCCTCTTGGATTATCAAGAAGATAAAATGGTTTCAGATATATGCAGCACCTCGCATAGTAAGAGGCAGTAATGATTGGAGGTGGTTGTCAATGGCAAAGTTCTGGTTTCACTGAGGACAGAAGGGCAGAAAGCCTTCCTCGGGTTGTGGGAGGATGTACTCAGAGCCAGTTCAGGGAGAGGCCAGGTGACCTGATGCGACCTCCAGCTAAGGTGCAATCAGACATGCATGCCAGTGACCTCATCTGGGTCATGTAGGATGAAGAAAGTATTCAACCATACCCTGAACAAAAATATGACCAGGACTCTGGGACACGCTTATGGTTTTATCTCGCCTCTTCCTCCCACGTCGTTGACTGGGGTTTCAAGGAAGGACTCAGACAATTAGCACAGTTCACACTGGCAGAGTGAACAAGTGTGACCCTTGGGCCACTGACCATGCTTTGATGCATGGTGCTCGCTCAATCAGTGCCCTCAGGTGAGTCATCCCACCTTTCTTGACCTTTGTTCCTTACCTGATCCATACACCAACAGGGTCTGACAGAGCACTTGCTAAGACTCCCTACTGCCCCCTCACTTTGGTGGCCATCAGCGAGGCCTTTGACTCTGTGGGTGAGCCTCAGAATTGGTTGACCTGAATTCAATCTACCTGGGAGGCAGGGTAGACTCAGCCATGTGTGAAATGGGCCAAAGGCAGTGTAAGAGCCCATCATGGGCTGTCATGTTGGCCCAATCTGTAGGTGCTCAGAGAGGAGCCCCAAGAAGTGGTAGGGGAACCAGGGCAATGCTCTGGGGAGCCGGTGGGGGGGGGCCTCTGAGCTCCTCATCATCCCTATCAGTCCCCTCCCCACTCCCCACATTTTCCTGATTTGGAAAGTCAGCTTGTTTGCCATCTTGTATGAAGATCACAAATGCAAGGCCCAGCCCCTCCCAGATGGAGACTTGCAGTCACTCCCTTCATCTCAAATCTGGACTGAGTTGAATTCAATTAGCTTTTGAATGTGAAACTCTATTGTACTTTTAATTTTTTTTTTTTTTTTTACTGTTACAGACTGAAGGAAATTAGTAACCCATCTTTCTTCATTGCAATGTGTGTGTTCAGGTATGTGGCAATGTGGTCTTCGACCCAGAGCACTTCTTGTTTGGGTGGGAAATGGAGAAGGAGCCAAGGAAGGTGGGAGGGTCCTGTGTCTTCCTGAATATCTTGATTAGAATTAAGTGCAGGGTTTGTGGAGTCCAACATTCAGGATCCACGAGGAGCTGGACAAGTTTGACAACATCATGTTCTCCTTTGCTAGATTCCTTTGAGCTGCATTTCTCAATAGCAGGTTTGCACAATAGCATTTAAGACGCCTACAGGGCTGCCTGTTTTAACACTGTGTTCCCTGTTTATTCCTCTGATTAAATGTGGATTTAAATTCTGGAACTGTGTTTTTAGGGAGGGTAGGAGGTTTTCCCAATCTGAACTGTTGTTGTCGACACACGAGTTCTAACACCTTTCAGAATTCCTGAGGAAATGAGAAGGTGGTTAGGAATTTACTGACTAGCATACCTGAAACATTTCCTTCTCACTCCCTATAGGGACAATCAGCAGTGGAATCACCATAAAAATAATTGCAGAACAATGTTACTCATGTCCTCGTTACTCGTGGTTATGTTTTCGCCAACTAATAAACTTTTTTTTTTTTGAGCAGTCTTAGGTTCTTGGAGAATGCTGAGAAGAATGTACAGATATTTCTCATATAGCCCTGCATTCCCCACTATTAACATCCCTACCAGAAAGGTCCACTCGTCACATCTGCTGGACCTACGCTGATACAAGGTGATCACCCGAAGCCCAGAGTTGACCTGGAGGACCATACATCCTGTGGGTTTAGACGAACGTACGATGGCATGTTTTTACCCTTGAGGTACTACGCAGAATAGTTTCATTGCCTTAAAAACTCTCCGTGCTCTGCTTACCCTACTCATGCCCCTGCCCCCTCCAGGCCACCCCTGATCTGTTTACTGTCTCCAGTGTTGACAGAATGTCCTAGAGTTGGAATCATACGGTATGTAGCCTTTCTCTGATGGGCTTCACTCACTTAGTGATACGCGTTTAAGTTTCCTGCGTGTCTTTTCATGCTCTGACGGTCAGCTCACGTCTTTTTAGCGCTGAAAAAATTCCATCGTCTGCAAAGCAACATAGCTCCATTCACCTACCTGGTTGATTCCAAGTTTTGGGAATTATGAATAAAGCTGCTATCAACATCCATATACAGGTTTTTTGTGTGGTCATAAGTTTTCAAATCATTTGAGTAAATATCAAGGAGCATGATTCTTGGGTTGCATGGTAAGAGTATCCCTACTATATGCCCATCCGTAAACATACGTAAGTATACATAATCAAATACATTATGGCTGTTTTTATTATTTTTTTAGATTTTATTTATTTATTCGTGAGAGACACACAGAGAGAGGCAGAGACACAGGCAGAGGGAGAAGCAGGCTCGCTGTGGGGAGCCCCACGTGGGACTTGATCCCAGGACCCTGAGCTGGAGGCAGATGCTCAACCACTGAGCCACCCAGGTGTCCCAATGGCTGTTATTATTTTGAACAAACTGTTGTCTGTTAGATCACAACAATAAGAAAAATAAAAGGTTTTTTTTTTTTTCCTTCACTTATTCCTTCTTTGGTGCTCTTCCTTTCTTTAGGTAGATCTGAGTTTCTGACCTATTTCATTTTCCTTCTCCCTTAAAAAACTTCTCTGATATTTCTTACTAGGCAGGAGTACTTGCAACAAATTCCCTCAATTTTGGTTTCTTTGAGAAAGACTTTATTTCCTCCTCATTTGTATATGCCTAAATATAGTTTTTTTTTTTTTTTTTTTGACATTTAACCTACCTGTTGTTTTCTGAGCTTCCTGAATCTCTGTTTTGGAGCCTGATGTTAATTTGGGGAGTATTTCAGGCATGATTGCCTCAAATTTTGCTCCTGTTCCTTTGTCTCTTTCTTTTCCTTCTGATGTTCCCATTACATGTATGTTACAGCTGTGCAGTTGTTCCATAGTCCTTGGATATTCTTTTATATTTTTTTCCAACCTTTTATCTTCAATTTTCAATTTTGGAGTTGCTATGGTCACATGCCCAACTCAGAGGGAGATTCTTTCCTCAGCCGTGTCCAGTCTACTAATGAGCCCATCAAAAGAATGCCTCAGTCCTATTAAAATGTTTTTGATCTCTGGCTTTTCTTTTTAACCTTTCTCAGAATTTCCATCTCTCTGCTTACAATGCCCATATGTTCTTGCATATTGTCTCCTTTTTCCATTAAAGTCCTTAGCATATTAATCAGAATTGTTTTAAATTCCCCAGTCTGGTAATTCCAACAACCCCTGCCGTATCTGAGTTTGGTTCTGATGCCTGCTCTCTGTCTTCAAATTGTGATTTCTGCCTTTTGGTATGGCTTGTGATTTTTTTTTTTTTCTAGATAGCCAAGCATGATGCATTCGACAGAAGAAACTCCCAGAAACAGCCTTTAGTAATGTGGTCCTGAGGTGTGTGTCTTGGCGGGGGGGGGGGGGGGGGGGGAAGGTGTTCCCTAGCCCCATGATTAGGTCCCCGTCTTTTGGTGAGCCTGTGTCCCCAGACTATGACTCCCCAGCTTTTATAATTATCCATATGTTTACCTTTATTGAAATCTTTATTTTTCTATGTAGCTTTGAATTACTCTTTGACCTTTCATTGCACCTTGCAGGACTCCCTTGACCCTTCTTTTTTTTTTTTTTTTTTTTGCAGGGCAGGTCTAGTCACAAGCTCCCAGTAGCTCCCAGCTACTGTTTCTTTTAGAATGTTTTGATTTCTCCCTCACTCACAAAGAACACTTTAGATATGGGATTTCTTGGTGACAGTTTTCCTGTTAGCACTTTCCACATATCAGCCCACTGTCTTCTGGCCTTCCAAGTTTCTGATGAGAAATCTGCTTGCAGCCTTCCTGGGGCATCCTTGCCTTGTGTTGATTCACTTTTCTCTTGCTACTGACAAGACTCTTTCCTTATTGTTATCTCTTGAAAGTTTCATTATAATATGTCTCATGCCGGTCTCTTTGAGTTCATCTTTCTTGGAGTTCACTGAGCTTCTTCAATGTTTATAGTCATGTCTTTCTTCAAACTTAGAATTTTTCAGCCATTATTTCTTCAAGGAGTCTCTCTGCCCCTTTCTCTGTCTCCTCTGTTTCTGGGACTCCTAGGACATGCGTATTGGTCCTTCCAAAGGTGCCCAAGTTGTCCTGGGTTGTTTGCTTTTCTTCAATCTTTTCTCCTTTGTTTCTCAGCCTTGATAAATCCAAGGTTGTCTTCAAGTTCACGGATTCTTTCTCCTGCCTGCCTAGCACAGTCTTCCAATGCTTCTTCCACCTTCTCCATTTCAGTTACTGTACTTTTCAGCTCCATTGTTTTCTTTTTTTTTTTTTTTTTGGTTTCTTTGTATGTTTTCTGTCTCTTTGTTGATGTATCCATTTTGTTCACAGGTAGTTTCAACTTCCTCTATGTCTTCTTCTAGCTCTTTGAGCAACCTTAGGAGCATTATTTTTTTTTTTAAGATTTTATTTATTTATCCATTAGAGACACACAGAGAGAGGCAGAGACACAGGCAGAGGGAGAAGTAGGCTCCCTGCAGGGAGTCTGATGCAGGGCTCGATCCCAGGACTCCAGATCACCATCTGAGCCAAAGGCATATGCTCAACCACTGAGCCATCCAGGCATCCCAAGAGTTGAAGTCTTTGTCTACTAGATACCCTGTTAAGTCTTTTCAGGGACAGATTCTGTTGACTTACTTTTTTTCCCATAGAATGGGCCATACTCTCCTGTTTCTTTGCATGCCTGGGATTTTGTTTGTTTGTTTAACACTGGACATTTGAATTTAATAACGTGATAACTCTGGAAACTAGAATCTCCTCCTTCCTCAGGGTTTTAATTAAAACACATTTTAAAAAAATTATAGCCTCTTTGTGCTGAGGATCAGCTTGAAGGATAAACATAATTTCCTAGGTCTTTTCTAAGTCTTTCCATTTTCTACTTTTCCCTGTATATGCAGTTGTTTTTGAATGCCCTAGTCTTTAATGTCTGGCTCCTGAAGAGGAAAAGGAAAAATATGAAGGGAGAATAAAATGGAACTGGCTCTTGAAATCACCTGGATGGCTCTTGAACCCAAGAAGAAGTACTTTGTAACCCTAGGGGAGTAACAATACAGTGGCCATTGCCTCTTTGTCTGCACATCTGTGATCAGAAGCAGCAATCAGTGATGGCAGCACAGTCCCCCAATATTTGAAGGACAGAGTCCTTCCTGCCTGCTCTGTGTCCTCAAGCTGTGTGTGAGCTGCTGCAGGAAACATGCACAGCTGTCTGCCACATGGCTGGGGATAGGGAAGGGGTAGCTGCTACTGTGTTAAGGGCCAAAATTGCTCAAAATTGAATGCAATTTACCATCCAAGCCTTCTCCTGGAAGTTGCAAGCCTTCAATAGACACCAGATTTCCAAAAGAGTTACATCAGACTGATTCTGCCAGTGCAACTGTCCTCTAGGTGGGGAGACAGACTCCTGGGGCTTCCTACCTCACTATCTTTCTAGAGGCTTCTCCTTTGTCTACAGCAACTGCTGCCTTATGCGTTCCCTCCAGCAGTGTATGAGTGTCTCAATTTATCCATGTCCTTGACAATACTTGTTATTATCTCTCTTAAAAGGGGGAGGGGGAGGAGTGGCAGGGACCAGGGTCTGGAAAGGCTGTAGGACACTAGGGCATGGACAGCGGCACATAAAATAGAAGGGGACAGACAAAAAACAATGGTGGGCTGGGACAAGGCCACAGGAGGAGGAGAGACTGGACAGATGTGGGCATCAGGGCCTGTGGGGATGTTGGGGACAGGAGACCAGAGGCCAGGGCTATAATTGAGTGTGGCTGCAGCTCCACGGACAATGGCTTGGAATTCTGTTAAGGAAACTCGAGCCAGCCTGGTGTGTAGTGGACCCTGGGAAAATACCACTTTGTAGGACATAACTTTTGGGCATTTGTGCTGTGACAATCCTCCCTTCATGATGGAAAAGGTATATCTGATAAGCTGTCACTCAGGGAGACCACAGGGCTGGACTATTCTCTTCCCAGGAGGCAATTTATATGAGTTACAAGGGAAGGAATGAGAGTCTGGTGAAGCCTGAATGTCTGCTTTTTGGCAAGAGAACTTGTATGTGCTTCCTACTTGGTGTTTCTCTTAGAGGTGGTTCCCCTCTCTGAGTCCCAAATGAGAGAAGGAGTTAGGATCAGGTGCCATTATTCTCTGTCATCTCAGACATGAATGAGGGAGGCAGGTGCTCAGCTTCCAGATCAGGTCTGTGGACACACATCTGCCTCTTTGTCTCCGAAGTGGTGGGTGGTGGCTCTTTCCATGAAACCACTCAAAGAAAGAAATCTCCCCAGCATAACACACACACACACACACACACACACACACACACACACACACACACAAGAAATCTCCCCAGCAGATTCCTGATTATTACTTAATGTGAGTGGAAAACTGAACAAGCAAGGCTGAAAAATCCTTCTGATGGGGCCTGTCCTTTGCTGTTCTATCTTTTCTCTCCTGCCTGCTCTGGAGAAACAAGCCTCCCTGAGGTCAAGTGCATTCACGTCAGATCTCCTGGCACAGTCAGTCTGCAGCATGAGGCCCTAGGGAAACTGGGCATTGTTACTGTGTGGCTGGCGCTTCTGTAGATTTGAGATAATTGCTTAAAATATGGTGGGTTAGTGTGTGTCTCCTTTCTCCTTTTCCTTTCTTGTCTTTGGTGATCTTTTAGAACAGTTAAAATGGAGGATACTTGGACAGGGCTGAAGGAAACCCCCAAATAAGAATTTCCTCTCCTCTAGGGGCCAAATATGAGATCCTTTCATGGAACTAGAAATGAGTTGGATGGAGAATGATTCCAAGCTTAGCTACAAGTGTAGGTAAAAAGAAGTTTTGAGAATTCAGAGAAGCACCGTACAAGACACACATCAAATGAACAGTCTTTAAAGAATCCTTGTGTTTCTTGGCTACAACTTAATTTGCAGTGTTTAATTTTTATTTCTAAAAAATTTTACAAACAAGGGGCGCCTGGGTGGCTCAGTCGGTTAAGTGTCAGACTCTTGATTTCAGATCAGGTCGTGACCTCAGGCTCTTAAGGTCCAGCCTTGCATCAGGCTCCACGCTCAGTGGAGTCTGCTCCTCCCTCTTCCTTTGCACCTCCTCCTGCTCATGTTATTTCTCTATTTTTTTTAAGATTTTATTTATTTATTCAAGACACACACACACACCACACACACACACACACACAGAGGCAGAAACATAGGCAAGGGGAGAAGCAGGCTCCATGTAGGGAGCCCGATGCAGGACTCAATCCCGGATCTCCAGGATCACACCCTGGGCTGAAGGCAGCACTAAACCGCTGAGCCACCAGGGCTGCCCTATTTCTCTATTTTTAAAAAAGATCTTATTTATTTATTCATGAGAGACACACAGAGAGAGGCAGAGACACAGGCAGAGGGAGATGCAGGCTCCCCGCAGGGGGCCTGATGCAGGACTTGATCCCAGGACCCCAGGGTCATGACCTGAGCCAGAGGCAGACGCTCAACCACTGAGCCACCCAGGTGTCCATGTCTGTCTCTCTAAAATAAGTAAGTATATTTTTTAAAAAATAACAATTTTACAAACATTAAGTCAATTTTCTTTTGGGTATACAGTTGTATGAGTCTTAATACATGTACAGATTACTGAATAAGTGGAATCAGACAGAGGCACCTAGGTGGCTCAGTTGACTGAGTGGTCAACTCCTGATTTTGGCTCAGGTCATACTCTCAGGGGCCATGAGATCGAGCCCCAGGTGGGCTCTGCACTCAGTGTGGAGGCTGCTTATGATTCTCCTTCTCCCTCTACTTCTGACTCTTCCCCTGCTCTCTCTCTAAAATAGATAAAATTATTTTTAAAAAAATAGAATCCTACACTATGTAACACTTTGAAAAAGCACTCAGTGTAATGTCCTCAAGCTTTATCAAATTTGTGATTAATGATCACAATGTAATTACGATGATTTATGAAGAGAGCTCCTATAAATGTTTGTGTACAGGTTTCGTGTCACTGCTTTCACTTGCCTAGACTAACACAGAATTGGGATTGACAGGTCAAAAGGTGTATATGTCCTTAATGTCTTGAATTTGCCAAGCTATTTTCTGGAGTGGTTGTGCCATTTTACATTCCAACAATGTGGGAGAGTTCCAGATACCTTGTATCTTTGCCAGACATGGTACTGACATGTGCAAAGATTTAAGCCACTCCAGTAGATATGAACTCGTATCTCATTGTCATTTAGTTTGCATTTCCCAAATATTTCAGAGATTTGGCCATGAGTTGCACGTAGTCGTATTTTCTCTTTCTCTTTGCTGTTGTTTCTCATTTGAATATATCATGCTTATAAAAATGCTTCTTACTTTTGACGGGTATCTGGATTGTTTCTAGTTTTTGCCTATTATGAATTTGCTATGAACATTTGTGCTTATGTTTTGCCTCCATACCTAGATATTTATACTGTGTTCCAAGAGGTGGCATTGCTGAATCACAAGCCATGCATATGCTCAGCTCCAGAAGTTTTCTGCTAAAGGGTGCCAGACTAGTTTTATTTACACTCCTACTAGCAATGTGTGAAATTTCCCATTCTTCTGTATCTTCGCCAACTCTCTGCACGTCGTGTCTTTTTTGCTTTAGCCATTTTGGTGGTTTTTGTAGTAGTATCACACTGCTTTTAATTTGTATGTCTCTGATGAGCATAAAGTTGATATTGCGTTATGTTTCCTACCTTTTCCATTGACTCTATGCACACACATAATTGGTATTATATATAAAATGCATATGACTGATATAGGCACCTAGAGGTCGCAGATTGTATTTCACATAGGATATTAGACCTTCAACAGATAGATCAGTTAACTAATCTCTTCTCCTACTCTGAGACTTGCCTCTTCACTCTCTTATTGATGTCTTTGGATGAATAGCAATTCTTAATTTTCACATGGTCCAACTTAGCCATCTTTTTTAATAGTTGGTATTTTTTTTGTGTCTTACTTGGGGAAACATTGCCTACCTCCAGTTCATCATAGTAATTTCATGATTTTCTTTTAAATGTTTCATTGTTTTACATTTCACATTTGGGTTCGTAATCTATATGAATTTTAGAATTTACTGACAGTATGAGGACTTTGAAACCCTAACTCAACACCCCTTTCCGCCATTCCTCTACTGTTATTTATTTTATTTCCACACCAACATTAGTTTTCCTGTTTAACAGTCAGTGTTTTAGGGGGACCTGGGTGGTTCAGTGGTTAAGTGTCTGCTGGGGTCCTGGGATTGAGTTCTGTATCAGGCTTCCCACAGGAATCCTGCTTCTCCCTCTGCTTATGTCTCTGCCTCTCTGTGTCTCTCATGAATTAATAAATAAAACCTTAAAAATAAATAATATTTACTTAGATTTACTCATATATTATCCTTACTGATTTTCTTCTTTCCTGCTTTAATTACCATATTCCGATCCTTAATTCTTTCCTTTATGACTCAAAACTTCCCTTTAGCATTTCGTTCAGTGTGCATCTATGGAAATAAATTTTGATTTTTTTATTTGTTTGTGTGAAACAGTTTAACCACCTTCAATTTGTTCACAGTTTCATTGAATACACCTGATGGACAGCAACACTGTATGAGTCTAAGGTATATAGCACGATGACTTACATTTTTGTGAAACAATGACCAGAGTCAATTTCGTTAATATCCATCACCTCATATGGACTGAAAAATAAGACATTTAATCCTTGTGATGAGAAATCTTTGGATCTGTTGGCCACAGTCATCATGCTCTACCCTGAGAACTGCCTCCGTATTTGAAGTCTATCCCACACTGGATGTAATTACCAACCGGCAGTTATTTTCACGAAGTACTTCGAAGACGTTGTTCCATTATTTTCTCAATTCTGTCATTTTTGTGAAAAATCTTACTGTTATTCCTTTGAAAGCAAAATGTCTTTTCCCCCCCTCTTCACCAGTAATTTAGTTAATGGTGTGTCAATGGTGAATTTCCAGGTTTTCGTCCTGGTACCATGGTTATGCAGGAGGTGTCCTTATTAGTTTTTTTTTTTTTTTTAAAGATTATTTATTTTAGAGACTGAGAAAGAGCAGTGAGTGAGCAGGAGGGGGTGCAGAGAGAGAGAGGGAGAGAGAATCCTGAAGCAGCCTCCCCACCACTGAGCAGCAAGCCCAACATGGGGATTGATCCCATGACCCTGAGATCATGACCTGAGCTGAAACCAAGAGTTGGCCACCTAACTGACTGAGCCACCCAGGTGCCCCAGAGGTGTCCTTATTTTTAAGTGTTTAGGGTCTGTACCTTATCTTCAAATGCTTCAGAAAAAAACATATACATATTACATACATGAAGAGAGAGAAAGAGAGAAAGCAAATAGGGCCAAATGTTTAAAATGGTATATTTGATAAAGAATTTGTAGGAGCTCTGTCTACTCTTATACTTTTCTGCAAGTTTGAAATTATGTCAAAATTAAAGTTTACCAGAAGAAAATCTCAGTAAAACAAAAAACTTATTAAAAAAATTAGATTCCTATTATCCTATACATAACATATACATGTATATACACACATATTCACATACATACATCTTCATATATATGGACCTCTATCTGGATATATATCTTCATATACGTTCGTATCTGAACATTCATAATTCAAAGGCTGTGTTGAACAGTCCAGTATCACAACGCCATCTCCAGAGTGCCCTCCCCTGATTTTTCCCACCCTACCACCCAGGGAAGGAGGAGCTCCATCTCCATAGGCTGGACCATTACACTCGGACGCCCGTCCAGTCTGCACTGCCGAGTCATCACAGGTAACTGCCCCTCAGGCTGGAGGTGGCCTCGGAACCTTGGGGCAGGACCCTTCCAGCCCTGGGGAGCAGCAGTTGGCCCCTTTGGGCTGTTGGAGTGCTAGGAACTAGGCTTTCAGGACTTCCCGCTCTGGCAAGATCTCCAGGAGGGAAACCCTGGGAGTGTTCACATCACTATGAGCAAAGAGAGAACTCCCTCCTTCTGCAGGATGAAAGGTTAGAGGCCCCTGCGGAATGCCTCAGGAAGGTATGTGGGCCCATGTTTGTAGGACTTTCCCTGTTAATTCAGCAACTGGAACCCAAGCAGGCATTCTTGTAATAAATAGGTGTCTGTACTCAGGTAATAAGTAGGTAATAAATAGTGTCTGTACTCAGCTGAGTATCAGGGTTTCTGTTTTAAAATGTGTAATTCTCTTTTTAAGATACATTTCTATTTGTTTCTTTTACAAATTGTAACAGGAAATGGTGCTTGGAAATACGGGTATCCTAGGTTTAAAATACATCACAAAATTAACGAATTTGGAAATTAACTGAGTTTATAATTCCTAAATACTCTAAAGTTCACTTTCCTGATTCATCAAGTCTAAGGGTTTTAAAAAATATTTTATTTATTTATTCATGAGAAACATAGAGAGGAGCGAGAGAGAGGCAGAGACACAGGCAGAGGGAGAAGCAGGCTCCCTGCAGGGATCCCGATGAGGGACTTGATCCCAGGACCCCGGGATCACGACTTGAGCTGAAGGCAGATACTCAACCACTGAACCACCCAGGCACCCCAAGTCTAAGGTGTTGACTGAGGCTTAAAATAAAAGTATTACAATTTCTGTAAGCTAATTCTGGTTTTGGTCTGTATTTAATAATACACAGTAAAAGCTGTGTGCCTGCAACGTGTGGCCATCAGAAGATCAGAAGACACATATATTCTGTTGCATACACCTACACACCCTATATATATGTGTGTGTGTGTGCCCATCATATGTGCATTAATCCCCATTTCATGCTTTCAGCTCGGAGATGTTTTGTAACTTGTCCAGGCTCTAACTCCTTGGGGCTAGACCCAGTTGGTGCCCAGGATCACATGGCCTATCTAATGCCTGTATGATTTTCACTGTTATGCTTCTTCCCTGCACAGATCTTGCTTTGTGTCTGACTTGTCTGACCTCTTTTAATTGGAATTTGTTCATGGGCACTTACTTCCTTCTATTTCCCATAAGAATTTGGTCATTTGTTGTGCCTAGTCTGCTTCTCTGATTATTACTACACAGGAAAGAAATATTTTTTTCTCCTATAAGCCCTTCATATCATGTATCCCATGTAAGTATATTTGAGATGCAGCCTTATTTCAGTAAGTCCCAATATAATTACCTGTAAAAGCAGGTAAAAGCATTGTAGTTGAGCCCAACAGAGTCTCCGTAGATTTGATATGAAGAAATAAATTCAAATTCTCCAAGCATATCAAGTTCAGTTACATGAGACCCTGTGACGTTTCCTCTTGTGGTAAAGATAAAAGACACCCTTGGTCTCATTGGCAATAAACATATTCAAAATCGTGTAACTGGTTTCTACAGGGCACATCTTCTCTCAGTGAGGGCCTCGAGAAATGTGCCTATTTCCTGGTGGGCGCTGGCTGGGACACAGAAGCAGTGATCCCTGAGGACTGCTGGCTTCCCAGAAATCTCGTGGCCGGGGGAGATGTTGGCAGCAGGCTGTAGTCTGCCTGTGTTTGCTCACGAGCTCTGACAGTTGCACTCCAGTCCTAACGCTGGAATTATCCAGGGCGTCAGATCCAGATAATTGTCCACGGACAGGATATTAGACTTAGCTGTAAGTTACTAGTTAGGCTGCCACTCTTCCTGGGTCCTTTTGTTTTCATTCTTTCCTGAGTTCAGATTTTGTTTTGCACCAGAGAGCATCCTGGAGGAATTTCAGAAAAGTCTGTGTGTGGTAAAGCTTCTCTCTCTCTTTGCATGTCCAAATGCAGTTTTAGTTTCTTTCACACCTGGATGGATGGTCATGTGCCAGTTTCAGAACTTGCTGTGGAGTGATGGGACCATCCAGTGATGGGGCTATCCCTCTGAAAGCAGAGGCCTAATGCTGTGACATTACTAAGTGGTGTGCACCGTACACACTGCTCAGCAGTAGACTGTTTCACAGATGGGTGTACTGTAGAATTTCAATGCCTACTCTAATATTTAAGTTAAACTCTAATAATAAAATGTTTGGAATAGGACCCTTTCTTAATTAGGTCAGTAAAAGTGTCTTTGCCTTGAAAGAAGGGATGGTTTCTCCAACCACATGCACAATCTAAGTCCCGGAAGTAGTTTGCTCTTGCTCGGCATGTTGGCGAGGCCACAGTACTTCCTAGGAGCTTTATCAAAATCCAGGGCTCTACATTAGTATTGGTACCATCTCTAAGTTTTTACTTTTTTTTCTGTTAGTAAAAAAATTCTTTATGACTCCTTCAATAGTCTTACGTTACAATTTACTGTTATATAGCCTGTTTTCTACCCTATTTACAATGATTTTCTTTTTCCATGTTGGCATTTCATATCTTTTACTTTCTACATTCTAGCCTCAGGGATGAAAGGGATCCTCAGGGTTTGACCTTAGAAAAAACCAAAGCAGTGGAGTCTTTAAGAATTTCCCAGTCAGGGCAGCCCCCATGGCGCAGCGGTTTAGCACCGCCTGCAGCCCAGGGCGTGATCCTGGAGACTCCTGGAGACCCTGGATCGAGTCCCACATCAGGCTCTCTGTATGATGCCTGCTTCTCCCTCTGCCTGTGTCTCTGCCTCTCTCTCTCTGTCTCTATGAATAAATAAATAAAATCTTAAAAAAAATTAAAAAAAAAAGAATTTCCCAGTCAGTTATAGGAGTAAGGGTGGGTGTCACTCACAGTCCAGCAAGGCTCACAGGGTGGACAAAACAGAAGTTGGAAGCCATGATGATGAAATTGCTGAAGTATGTCAATATATATAGGTCTCAACCTACAAAAAGCCTTTCCCTAAGGAATCTGCTCTTTGCTGATGGCAGGTGGGTATGGGAGGGGGGGTGGAAGGACAGTCATCATGGTGATAAGTATAAAAACGAGACCATTCATACGAATCTTTAATACTGTGCCCAAAGTTCATAAAAAGTAATGTACTTTTAACAAGAAATTTTCCTGTTTACTATTCAAAAAAAGTAATAGTCCTGAGCACCTCGAGAATTTTTCTGGATGTGATTTAGAACACGGTAAATCGAAGACAAATGTAAGCCTACTTAACTGATTTTGTAGGAAACACCAGGGTGATGGAGCAATTTGATACACTGGATGTGTCAGCCGTGCTTAATCTGGAGTCAGCTCTGGTCAGAGATGGAGCTTCCAGACAGGTGCTCCCAGCGGCTGTCCCACTCATTCGCGACTGGTAAGCCCGACTATGCCACTCGCAGAACCATGTAGAGTCTGGTTGCAAAGTATTCATGGCAAAGTGACACGTTCAGTTTCTTCTGGTAACATAAAGTTTGGTTTTCAAAAACAAATCATCTATGAAATGGAAAGTTATGAAACATTTGAAAGCAGTTAGGCACTTGCAACATAGGTTCTTTCAACAGGCTTTCATTGATTCCGGCATCTTCACAAAATGCTATTAACTGCTACTCAAAACTGATTCATTTTGTGAATGAGGTTTCTGTTGCTTTTTCCTCCTTATTTGTAAAAATTCCTGATTCACAAGCACTCGAATCCTCTTGTAAGCAATACCTTGTATATGTAGAAAGATCCTTTTTAAAATGAAAATAGAATGAGGGAAACTAAGCATTGTTGCCTATTTCCCACAGATCTTTAATTTCTAAAGGGTCCACTTCTGTTGGTTTCTGCATGTTTTTTAGTATAATGTATAATTTATCTTGTATATAGAATATGTGTATGTTTTAAAAGGTGCCTCTCCTCATTCTGTTTGCTGGTTAGTGGAGAATTTTGTTCCCTTCC